TCACCCTGCTGCAGCCCTGTCCTGTCACTGCTGCACGGGGCAGGCTCTGCCCAGGTGCTCTGTGAGGKTTTTGAAGACTTTCAGACACTTTGAGCTGTCCCTAATTTTCACCAGTGTAACTGCAATCAAAATCTGAGATAGRAATTCCTATTTTCAGTGGCAAGTCTTCTTTCTCTCTGTGCTGATGGGTGGCTTAAGTGATACTATTCCTGCAAGCATCAGCACTTCCCGGTATGATGCATATTTAGGAGTGAACTCCCATCAGTTGCAGAAAAGGCTTTTCCTTTCATTACCAGGGCCTTTCATTTATCCTTCAATTCCTTTATTCTCTGACTTAAGCATTTGCATGGTGCATTAATGACTGAGGCTGATTCAGCTGTACTTTGTGTGAAATGTCCACATTGTTTCATCTCAAGGGTTGTGACAACCAAAGCACAGAGGAGCATTGCAAAGTTCAGAATAAGCAAATGCCCTGTCTCCCATCTGCAGGTGTAATTTCMCAGCTACTGTTGAGATAGAATTATTTTTTCAAAAGGAGTGAATCTGTTGGGTGGCTGTGTGAGACAAGCTGACCTGTTCACACCGTGTTTAACTCGTCCTGGGAGCAGCYCTCCTGTGGCACAGAWTTTAAATTTATTTATTTATTGSCACTGGAGGAAGGGAAGAGCAAGAGAGAGCTTTGCTTTGCCCCAGTCAGCTTCTCCTCTGGCTCTGGCCAAACTCCATCTCCTTCACCTTCACCATCAGCTCCCTGACACCTCAACCTGCCTTATTGGGCTTACCTAGAGCAGAGGCTGGACAAAATTCAGAGAATAAAAGCAGTTCTGTTCATTGCAGGGCCTTCAGGTTCATTCAGAGCAGTCCCAGCCCATCCAGAGGCTGCACCCACAATGGACAATGGCTCACGGGTTTTTCACCCTTTATCAGTTTTGTCCATTTTGGGGCTGAATCCTCCAATTGCAGCTGCAGCCAATGCAGTCATTCACTCCAAGTTGGCTCCCCCCAAWTCTCTGTTGTTTCCATCTCTTGGGGCCTGGCACAGTGAGGTGTCCTTGAGTTTGGGGCTGCAGAGGAATTGTTTTGTCTAAAATGGGAGAACAGGAGCTCAGCACTGTCTCTGGAGTCTGGAGTTACCCACTAAAGAATTACAAGGTTCCAGAGACATGGAAATAGAGAAGCTGAAATCGTAAGGCATCACCCAAAGATAGCAACTGCAGCTGCCCTGGGGCTTCCCTTGCCCTGTGTGGGACCATTTTGGGATCAGCATCCACTCTCATGTAGCTTTTCCATCGATCTACTTTCAGTTTTCTCAAAAGTTGCACTTTAAAGAATGGAAATGCAGGATATTACTGACATCCTTCCTTCTTATTTTCAGCATTTTCCCCTCCCAGAGCTCTCACATATCCCCTAGGGCTTGGGAATGGGTTCTGTCAGGATGTGGGGACCCAGTAATGCAGTGTTTGATGAAAGGTCCTTGCAGTCCTGGGTTCTGTGAAGGGCTCTCACTCAGAGAGGGGCTCAGGAGGACATGAAAGGAGGTGCATGCCTTTGGAATTTAGAGTTCTTCCTTCTAATTCTCCTTAAAATTGTCTCCAATTATGATTCCCACCAGGGCCACCAGGTGCTTCAGGACCCAAAGGGCCCCCAGGACCTATGGGAGCCCCTGGATCACAAGTAAGGTGCTTTAAATGCTTTGGGGTGAGGGGCAGAGTGGGGAGTCAGGGGTGAAACATCGTCTTGCTGCACAAGGAGAGAGGCTAATCTCAGATCTGCTGCTTTGTTCCCATGAAATTCTGGGATTTAATGCCTTTTCCTTGTTCTGGGTTGTGCTGARAGCTGAAAAGGTTGTGCTTTCTGGAGTTTCTCTTAATCAGAACAACACATCATGCTGCTGCTGTGTCAAAACATTTCACTGCAGCCTGATGCAAAGGATCTGACACGGGCTTTGCTAATACAGTGACAAAAAAATACTGCATTTCCTGTGAAACACATTAAAAAGACCCAAAAATGCATCAATGGGAATTCACCAATTCACCAGAGTGAACGTGTGAAGCCTGGTGAATTTTCCGACTTTTCCAGCACTTTCTATTGGAGAAAAATATCACAAATTCCCATCAGTTTGGTTATTTATTGATAGAGACATTGTGAAGGGGGGGAGATAATAATGGAGCAGGAGAAATTCACTCCAAAGGATTTATGGTGGAAGAAGGGCACAGTGCTGAAAATGGGTGGAAAAAGCTGGTTAAATGGAAAGGAGTAAAGTCATGAACAGTGAACTGCCAAACTACTCCAAATTGCTGCTGGCTGATACAAAGGGACTCAGTTTTGGGGGGAAAAAAAGAGGTGCTTAATGTGGAGGTAAAGCAGCAACATCAAATATTGACTGGAGAGCATAGAGAAAGGTTCAGTAACTTAGTAGAGGGATGTAGCTCAGAGAGGTTTGGAATTGAAATAGAAAAGGAAAATTTTCTTATGTATTTATTGTTTTCTTATGTATTTGTTGTTTTCTTATGTATTTGTTGTTTTCTTATGTATTTATTAACCACTTTGAAGAAGCCTGTCCTCAAATGGCCAACAGGTTAGGGAAGGTCTGCCAGTGCAGCAGAATCCTTTCAATTAGGGAATGCTCTGGAGAACACTGAGAAACTCCAGATAGACACGAACACAATGAGAGATTTGGCACCCAAAGGACAGATGCAGTTTAGCATCATTAAATGTAAGGTAATTCACAATTCATAACCAGATCCTGTAGCAGAGTCTGGCTCTTTGACACTCAACACACGCTGTAAATCTTTTATTTTTAACAACGTGGAATTCAGTGTTCTTGAGCATTGCTGGGCCTAGAAAAGCCATTTCCCTGGGTGCTGATGTGGGGGCTTGGGGAGCTGCTCTTACACATTAAGAACATTATTWAATCACCAGTGGCCTGGAGGGGAGCTCCAAGCTCATTTCTGCAGCCTCCAAGACCATGTGCAAGTCACTTGAGGTGGAAAAAAAAGCACCTTGTACACAGTTGTGGGGAGAAGGAGAGCTGACAGGCTGAATATAAACAAACAATATTGTTCTCTCTTGCTCTGGTTAATAACTGTGGCTGCTCTGGGTGGATAAGTTAAGAATTTGGATCGATTTCTGCATAGCAGTTCAATTAGTAGAAATCTGGAGCCGCTGCCCTTCTTRGCCGTTGGTGACTGCTTTATAGATTTGCTCAACCCAGGGAGTAAAATTATTAGCAGAGATTGGGCTTAATTTGAAAATTGTTTATTAGGGTGAGTGAATAGCTTCAAAATAATTTCCACTGCACAATCCAATTAATTTTCAGGTATGTGTGCTTGCTCCTGCCACCCACTGAGGCAATTAAGAAGTGGGGGGAAGTAGTGCGGATTTTTAAGCTAAACATACAACCTGTGCATGAATTTCTTCTTGGTAACCGAGAACAAGAACTGTCCTGTCACACTGACCCCTAAAAATGTTACATCAGGGGCCTGCAGGGCATTAAAGGACCCAAACAGGGATCTGCAGAAGGTCCAGGGCTCAGAATATCTGCAAACAGAGCTGCTATTGTGTTTGCTGGAGGGGAGAAGAGAATCCAGCCCAATGGCTTAATGGTGGTATGAGGTTTCCAGGAGCTGAAAATCACTGGGAAATGTATTCACTACCCCTACACTAAGGTTGCACAGTAGAAATTGATTCCTTCTCGTTCTGCATCTCTTCCAGGGCTTGCCAGGATCTCCAGGACAGCCTGGACCRAAAGGATCCAAAGGAGACCGAGGAGAGAGAGTAAGGTTTTCCARGCACAGGGATTCCCAGCAGCGTTTGGGGCTTGAGGCCTCAGAAATTGTACACAGGTCTCACGAATGCAGTGGGACACAGCCACCAACAGCTTTAAATTCAGAGTTTGGGTCTTCTGYAAGAACCAAGACGAGGATTTCCTGTGCAGAGAAAGAGTTGAGATCCTTGCAAAGTCAGGTATTCCTCAAAGAGATTCAGGGAGCAAGGACATGGTGTATAAACACCTGTGGGGACCAACCTTCTCCCACCAGCCAAAGCTGCTCAGTGTGGGGTGTTTTGAGGAGTCTAACTGAACTCTTCCTTCTGTGGCACTGAGGCTTTGAAAACCCATCAGACTTTTCCTGAAGTGAAGYCATTCCCCAGGTCAAATGATGGTCCTAATGTATTTGGAATATTGAAGTCATATTCTTACTGTGTTTGTAAGCTGTCAAGTGTTGGTAACTAAACACAGGGAAAAAAGGATGTTTGGATGTTATTTACAAACTAGTGAAGTTTAGAAAATACCAGAGAAATCCTAGTCTAGCATTTAAGCATTGGGAAGGGTTTAAAAGTGGCATTTGGGCCTTTTGCTGCTTCTGTTCAGCTTAAGTACCCAAAGTTATGGTCTCTGAAATCTCTGGGTGAGCCTGGGGGCACAAAATCATTTGGGAATGGAGTTGGTGGAAGAGGAACATTCACCCCTTGGATCTGTGGGATGGGCACAATGGACTGTGAGAATCACTGGGACCCCAGAGTGGAGAGAGCCAAAGGAGAGGAGGAAGACCAGGGGGAAAGCATTGGTTGGTGCCTCTGCAATGATGGATTTCTGCTCTGACACAGCCTCCTCCTTTTCTTCCGAGTGCCATTTTCTCATCCCACAGTTGGAGGTGGATGGAGGCACCGCCTGGGGATGGGGGGCTGTAGCTAGTGGGGTTCCCCCATGACAGAACCCCCTCTGCATTCCTGCTCCCCATCCCATTCCAACAGACTGAGGGATGCCTGAAAGAGCCAGGACAGACAACTGACATCAGTAACTCCCATGTGCTGAATTCTCAGATCCATGGGATACCCAGGCACAGACAAACTGTGCTCCTCTGTCCAGACTCCTCTGTGCAGGGGGAGCAGCTCCAGGTGCTCATTTCACCCTTCCTGAGGGGCATTAAGGAGCAGCAGAATCAGAGGGTGGGGCACAGATGCCTTTTGAAAGCTCTTCGTATTTCGGTTTTGGGGGCTTTGTCCCGTTCTTGCATAAGAAATCACTCGCACTTTCATGGAAGACAGAGTGACTGCTGATCATTTTTTGTAACACTTTCCAGCCAATTTGGGACTGACTTGGCTTCACAAACAGATTGCAGATTGATGGAGTTCTGGGAGTAGAATTCGAGATTCTGATAGAGAGCAAAACCTTTACTGGTGTGATGGATGCGCAAATTACCAACTACAGCTCATTGCCATTCAATCTTTATTTTCAGCCAATAAAAAAATATAGAAGGGCATGGTACATGGCAAAATGTCACATTTCCATCCAGGAACTGATGAAACTCTTCCTCAGTGATTCATGTAACATTTTGCTTTAGTTTATGATGGACTGTATTACCAATATTACTACTAATATACCATATTATTACTACACTTAYTTTGAAACAAAATCTTGTTGCTCCRTGTCCATTCAGKCCAGACAGATCCCTTAGAATTTGATTTTTTTTCCTCTCCTTGCTAGGGATTTGGAATTGTAGCTCTGCTTCTACGTTTGGGACAAGTGAAATTTTCAAATATCAAAATGTCTTGATAAATAGAAAAAAAAACAAACCCTCATATTTCCCGTCCATCCTCTGTTAGTGTGGAAAGGGGAGCTGGCAGCTTTTCCTGTCAGAATTTCTGTCGGATGCCCTGTGTGCTTTTTTTCTTTTGCGAGTGCGGCTTTGAACGTCGGGTTTGACGACAACATGCGGCAATTTTGGGTTTGGTGGATACAAAGCAGGGCTCGAGCAGAGGAGCTGCACAGAAAAGCAGAGGGGGAGTTTGCAATATCCCCTGAGATTTGAGAATCTCTTCCTCCTGGCCGTGGAGGAAGGAGGATTTGGAGTTTTGGTGGATTTGGAGTTGTGCTGTTACACTCCTCACTGTGATTTTCCCTCCTGCCTGTGCTTTTCCACGAGCTCTGCTCCCTCCAGTGCAGAGTCTGAGTATTTCCCTTTGAAGATGCTGGGAGCACCTGACAGACTGGGGCTTTCTCCCAGAGCTCTCCCTGTCYATGGAAGCCTTTTCCTAGTGCTGGCAAGGCATTCCATCGGAATTCAGTCCTCCATGGGAATGTTCTGTACATGTCCCAGGCCCGCTGGTTTCAAACAAAGCAGCAATTTGATGGACACAAACCCAGCAGGTCKCCCTTTCTGCTACAAAAACCTGCCGCCATATATGTAATTTTTTKGGGGGAAAAGGATGGGTTTGTTGCTGTGTGCACATAGGGGAGAAGAGCCAAGGGAAATGTGTGCCTGTTTCATTCATGGATTTTCAGAAATGYTTTTACATTTTGCCTCTTCTTCCCAAGCTCCTGCTTTCTCACTAAACAATCTGTCACCCTGGTCAGGAATTCTGCCCTGCCCCAGCCTAATTCCAGGGTGTGAAACCAGCGTTGTGGAGGAAAACAGGGGGAAAAAAAGATGTTCAGTTCGATAGCATTTCATTCTGCCCCAAACCGACACGGACTGGCACAAACTGTTTCTTTTTAAAAARAAAGAAAATAGAACACAAAAACCCCTCACTGAGACCAACGTGAAAATTAGCACAGCAGGAGAAAGAAGAAACAAACCGACCAAAATATTGTACCTGTGTTTTGATCGGCAGCTGTGGGATGTGTGTGGAGCAGGAGCAGATTAAATCAGCGCTCCGTGGGAGCCCTGGGCTCTGCTCTGGCTGGAGCAGCAGCGCCCATCGGTTCCAGAGAAAAGAATGCAGTGTCTTTGAGAGGAACAAATCTCCAGCCAAATTCCTTCCCGGTATAATGTAACTGACTGCTGGAAAGTTCAAAAAACCTGCTAATCGCCTTAYGGAGAGGGCATGAGCTCGGGAGCTCCGCATCCAACCCAGCTCCTCCAGAGGCTGAAGGGATTTGGAGCTGATACTTGACAGAAAACCATAACCTCCTTTTGCTGTCGCTAAGTGATAATGTCAAGGGAGAGGAATTTTTCCCCCCACATTATCCCGAATGTGAGGTTTTTCATTAAGCCGTCTTAAT